GGGAGCGTGGGGCAAAGTGCCTAATGAGTCGTAGAAATTTGATGAACTAAAACAAAGCACAGGCACCATTAGGTTGCTCCTCGGTGGCAGGGCGGCGGGCTCGCACTGCAGGCTGCTGCTGCTCAGCACCCAGCCCGAGCCCAGGGCAGCGCCCCGCCGGCTGTCACCCGGGGCGTGGACATCTTGAAACCCAGCTCGGAGGCAGCTGCAAGTTAAGTGCAGGTCTCGTTCTGCAAGGCTGCCATCAATGCATCTGCAGCCTTATCAGCCTCACACTGGCTCTCGAGTGAAAAGAAAGGCAGGGCTGGATTTCTGCTGGATTGCTCCCCTTCCCCTCCCCTCTTTGGAGATTTTTTTTGGGGAGGAGAAGAGAGGTGATAATGATAAAGTCACATGAAAAGAAAATGAAACACTTGGCAGTCCGTCAGATGACTAATGCAAGATGCTGAGGATGGATTTGCAGAGTGCGCGAGCCATCCATGTGTGCATCAAATTAGTACGTTGTTGCTGCTCAGAATGGAAAGTGCTCCAGCAATGCGGCTGGCTGCAGCCGATTGGCTGCTTACGCTGGAGAAAAGGGCCAGGGCGGGGAGGGGGCTCCCGTTTAAAAAGCACATTGTTTATGGGACCCGGGCACAAAGGGTTTAATTCAGAGAGGCAGAGGCGATCTCAGAACTGCCTGCTTTGTGCCGGGGGGAAAAAAAATGCAGCCGCAGAAAGTTGAGTTCCCGCTAAAGGACACTGAATATTTCAAATCTTTCACACTCCATAAATTGCTCTCTGTGTGTCTGACTTCCAGATGTTGCACTTGAGTTCTAAACAATCACACGTTTGGAAGAGAGAAGAGGGAAGTCTGCCTTTTCTTCTCCCAGCTTCAGTAAATATTTGGGGATGATACAAAAAGCAAGAACATAAGCCTTTACATATCCATCTTCCTTAAGACTTGAAAAGCCCCCATTTGGAAGAGAGCCTGCAATTCTAGTCACTATCATGAAACATGATAATGAGGGTGTTCGTTTTTTAATTGGGATCCCCCCCCCCCCCCCCCCCTGACCTTCAGTAAATCATAAAGCAAAATCACATATCCTCTTTGTCTTCCCTCCTCTGAATGCTCCCTAAACCCACCTACTCTGCCAAGAGACAGGGCTGAATGCCCTGAGCAGGATGCATTTGCAGTACTGTGCTCTTGGTTTAGCATCTCAGCCCGTGAAAATAAAATGCGCCTAAATAACTGCACACCTGGCAGACAAAATATCTACAGAGTCAGGTCCATGATTGTCCTCCGGCTCCTAGCCCAAGAGGTAGAAAGATCAAAAAGGGCCCACATAAACTAAAACTTCACTGCAATTGGCAGGTGTCATTTCAATGTAGTCTTGGGGTTATAACAACAAGGTATTCAAAATGATGGCAAATACTCTTCCCTAGGACCTGCCTTTCATTTCTACTTCTTCCAATCGCCCTATTTTACCACTCTATTTTTTTTTCTCCGTGCGATAAACAATCAAACCATGTAGCTTGAAACACTTTTAGAGGTTTCTCTAATCAACCTTATTGTTATAAACCATGTTCTGCTAAATAAAATATTGAGCACAAAATCTTCTTGCAACAATTTAGGTGTAACGTAATGCTTGTTTATATTACAGATCAGTCATTTATCTTGTTCCTGTGCACCTTTATTTCTTTTCAAATCACCCTCTGAGAATTCAATCAACACTTTAACCCCAAAGAGCTAACTCTGGTGGGGTGGAGGTGACAGAGCCCCACACAGAGCAGAATGTAGTGTTCACAACTCGGTGAGAGCTTAGAGTGTGGCAAGACTCGTTTCTGGGGCAGGAAGGACTTGTGGTTAGTGCTGTTGACAATGAGCTAGAATGAAAAGAGGAAGGCATTGCCACAGGTCTCAGCTAACAGAGAACGGAAGTTCAAAAATGGGGCTGGTGCATTTTGTCTGCACAGAGCAGTTAGTACAATGAAGGAGCTAGGTGAGAGTATACCAGTCCCGGCATCTAAACTTAGAATTCTAGAGCACGCATTCCGTCATGTCTCTCCAAACGAGAGGGCATTTTTACTTTCTCAAAAAATGCACCCGTAGTGGAGCGCAAAGGAGGGGAGATGGAGGATATCTCTTATACCTTTGGTCTTTATGTTGCTGAATCCATATTTATAACCCCCTTCCCATCAGCCATACTTCAGAAATGCCTGGAGACTTCTTATCACCCTGAGGCAGTGGGGTGTTGGAGCTCAGGGCATGGGCTCTGAATCATGGCACCACCACTTCCTAACTGTGCCACTCTGGGCCTCAGACTCTTCATCTGTAAAATGGGAAGAGACTTCATCTCCTACAGTCATGTGCTTAGTACAGGAAATGGCCCAGAGTAAGTGTCTAATAAGTGTTAGCTATTTCTATTTTTAATCACTTCTTTGCAGTTGTGACACACTTGAAATGAGTGACGATCACATGTCTACTTTTCATTCCACATTTTCTCATGGAATAGGCTCAAACACAACTCATATCCTAAATAATAATAAGTATCTTTTAATGAGCATTTATAAGCTAGATAGTGTGCTAGCTACTTTACATACATTATTTCTAACCCTCGTAACAACTGTAGTGAAAGTATTATTTTCCAGATGCACATATCTAAGAAATAAGTTCCCTTTCTGAAATTACCAGCTCACAAATTATAGAAGCAGAATTCAAACCTAGGCCCAAAGCACAAAATATTTCTAATCCATCATGTTGCCAAATATTGCATCAGGTCTGCCTTTGACTGAGAGTGTACAGCTCACAGCAAATCTATGAGAAGACAAGGCCAAGAGCAAAACATACTGGGTCCCTGGAAGCCCAGCGCCAAATAAAAGGTACCACTGCGAGAAAGACACACACCTGTC